ACCAAACGTCAGATAGTCACATAAACAAAGCATTACAAACCCTCTCTTGAAGTCCGTGGTTCAAGAGCATGAGGCTAGGCTGGTAGTTCCTACAATGCCCAACTCGCTTTTACGGGGTGGGCTGCCATTCGAGCCATGTAAAACCACAATTCCTGCCCTAACGTATACATTAGACCATGAATTGCGCCGGTCAATATTTAATAAAAGGTCTCGGAACTTTAAGCCCGTACCTCTAGGGAAGCCTTGTCATGCATATGGATCTGCAGCATCTTAGGTGCAGTGATGTTACAAATTCCCTTCACGATGACCTTTAAAATCTGCTAACACTGTTTTCTTGCATATGTGCGATAAAAAGAATTTTGAATTTATAAAGTTTGCGGCTCCTAAATATTGGTTAAAATTGGGTGTAAATCAAGGTCGTGTGTTGTAGACAATTAATTTTAAGCATTGCTTAGATCTGTTTTTTGACAGGTCACCTTAAATATATAAGTCCAAGAGAATGTTGTCTTGTTATGCTTATTAGTAGAGCCAACGCGTGTGAGAAGCGCTCTAGTCAATTGCAGGGCTTGTGGGCTCCGACTTAGGTCTTTGGGAGCGAATAACATTGGTCTTGATGCATGCTCTCCGCACTACTTCGTACCTTTTTAAATTATGGTGACATGGGATAGTAATTTCGCTGTCCTTTGCCTAGAAATAGGTGCTGACTGCGAGATTTCGACGTTGCAATATTCCTGCTTGAGTATTTTCTGGGAAAGGAAATATATGTCGGTTACATATAAGGCTTTTGAATAAAGATCTAGTATTAGATGTTCCGTGACATGCTGCTCTACCCTCTATCCCCTTGAAGTGTAACTTAGGTTTTGCAGACTTTGGCCATTTTAAACGTCGCGGAACCTACATAGGTTTCTGTCTTGATTCACTCTGGTTATTTTCACAATTTTATGAACATCTGCATTATTTTGCAATGTAGGGTTGTCCCAGCCTCAAGGGATTGAAGGGTATGAATGATTTCATCGAAAAACTTGTGAGCAATTTTCTCATACAGATTTTAGAATTAACGGCTTCGAGGTGCCTACTTTTGTGATTTTTTCAGTCCTCAAAGCGTTGGAATGAAAGAAAGGAAGCGTTAGACAAAATCGATGCCAGACTGCGATGCGGCGTTTGTACGCAACTCGAAGCTTCGGATCTAGTTAATGCGGTTATTAACGTAAGTAAAGCGATTGTTCGTACTTGAGCCTTTCTCTGTGTCTGCTTCGCTTTCTTTAGGTTCTGCTAACTGATAAACACCCACAATTGGTTGCTGCGGCAGCGAATATTATTACACGTGCGGCTAACACAATGAAACAGGATTTTGCTCCTTTGTCGAAGCCAACTCTGATGGCCTGCTTATCGGGATTCAAATCAAGTAAACCTTTTGTCATTACTGCGCTTCGCTCTACCGCCGACGCAACATTTAATACTGTGAGCTTTTTATTAACGATCGCGTCTTATTTGCCACAGTGCTGCTATACTGAAGCTATTCCGCTTCAATATATTTGTGGTGATTTCTGGCGTAGTCTTCTTTGGTTTAGAGCAAGAATTTTATGCTGACTTTGAGGAGCAGTAAATGCATCTGCGACATTAAATTTTTGCTCTTTAAGCTTTCGATGGAAGCCATAACAGAAGCAGTTTTGGTGACCTTATCGGACAAAGCTGCCAATCCAAGCATGAAAGAGGAGGCAGTGGGGTTGTTGGGTCGCGCTTTGCAAGTCTCCGAGGGTACAGCTTCTATCGCGCTTCGCCGATCTATCTTTCGACGGCTGTTATCACCTCTTGTGGCGCTGATGGAGGCGCCCAGCGATGGATTGCGCGAGGCTGCTTGCAACACCCTCGCTACTGCACGCCGTTACCTCGACGACGACTCTACATACTCTCGACTCACCTTCGACGTTCTCGATGATAACAAAAAATCTCGCATTGATCTTGCTTATCAGCATCTTTTGGCCGTTGAGCGTCCTCCAAATGTTGAATTCACTTCAGCTGATCCCAAAACGGGTATGTCACCTACTGAAACACCTTGTGTAATTTTTGTCCTTCTGGTCTCAATTCAATCTAATGTTATTGACCCTTGGGTTAGGAATTGGGAATCTCGTACGCTTATGCGGCGCATGTGTGGGGGATCTTTGTTTAAATGCTTTTTGTCGATTAGGTATGGAGGTTCAGATAGCTTCACTTCAGAAGGCTGCTGGAAAGCGGCACTCACCGGCTCCGATAGGAATCGCACCGTCATCACAATCGAAAAAGGCAAAGACAACTGTCAGTACTACTATCTCAGCACAACCTCCAGTCTCCTTTGCAATTGAGCAGCATATGCCCGAGGATGAGGTCAAACGCATCCTCTCACAAGGGTTAGTTAAAAGATCTACGCACCTTTTCTGCGACGTGCTAAGGTAGCTATGAAGTTCTACTTAATATATCATGAGTGGTCACATGTTAGCATGTCTGTCCGGTGAAAAGTTGTAAAAGAAGTGCCTGGGTGATCTCCCCTTTTAGGTTGATATCTGAGAGCGTCGCCAATAACTTGGGCTCGAGTAACTGGCGAGAAAGACTCGAGTCGGTCGACCGCCTCTACTTCGTTGTTTCTTCCCTTCCTCTCGATTCTCCTGCCTTCTCTCAATCATTGATCCGTCTTCTTTTTCAAGTGCCAGGTCTAAAGGAGTCGAATTTGCAGGTATTTGACCTGATACCAGAAATCATATTGTTTTAGACCATAATTAATGTTCTGCTCAACCTCGGAGTGTATTAAGATTACATTTAACTAAAAATATAAGCATTCGAAGTTTAACCGCTTAGTGTTTTTGTGGTAGAAATCCTACTTACTGAAAAGCCATTGCTATCTACAATTGTTTATGGTTGATCTGAGGTTTTTGACGTCATCATTTTGCTGATATGAACTTCTAAAGTGCGGCGAGCGCTTGCGTGCATGGTGAGTGGAGTGTGAGAATTGCTTGGGTATACCCGAAGTCTACCTTTGATTGATAAAAATCCATCTAAGAAACGTGAGTGGAAGCTCGATTACCGAATGTTGGTCGTTACCTATCAATCGGATGCCTCTAAAATATTGAACAGAAGCGATTTCCAGGTTGTTGACACCCTCCATAATTGGGTTCGACGATCATTATCTAGTTAAGCAGGACGCATTACGGCCTTTCTTCACCCTAGGTTAGGTGCCGTCTCTTAGAGACACTTGGAGCCATTTTAGAGTACTCAAAGGCGTCATCCATATGCGAAAGTCTCTTTGAGACGCTAACCACGAACTTAGTGAGCCTCATATGCACCCCCAAAAACGTTGCGTCCTGTGAGGCCTGCCTCAGTGGACTGGAGCGTTGCTGCGGCCTCCCTGTTCTTGGTGACGCCATGCTTCGTCTCGCCGCTTCCACCAAGATGCCCAAGTCTGCGGAGAACGTCATCCTCTGGCTGACGCGAGTCATCGAACGCTCAGGAGGATTCTGGTGAGGTTTTCCTCTAGCATTTCGGTTCAAAACCTTTCCCTATATCACGAGATATTATGCATACAGGATAGTTCATGCCTTTTTTATAGCTCAAATTCATTTTGAGTTTGTCCTTTAGTTTATCAGAGATGATCATATTTTCAACCAAATGGACTCCCTTCGTTCTCATAAAAGACACTCTTGGTTAAACCACATTCCGTTTTGTTGCTATCTCAAACTCATATTTGTGTTGGAACTGTCTACATTCTTCTAGAGCATTAGGTTGAAATGTGAACAAAAAACGTAACAAAGAAAGTAGTTTATTGATAAATATAATTCGTGTCTACTCAAGGTCAATATTTTTAAGTCAAACGATTAAAACGCGATCTGGTTATAGGAAAACATTTATTTAATTTACAGCCTTAACTATTCACTAACAGTGAAGTACCTGAAAGAAGGATTTAACAGTAGCGCAGGATCGGTGCGTCATGCTTATGTGAAGTTGGCAGGGGCCGTTTACGCAAGCCTCGGTCGCAATGGCGGCGATTGTAATACCGAAGGTCCTTCTGCTGGAATCTTTCGAGCTGATCTCGAGGGTTCGAGCAAGTCGACAATTGCGACTTTGCTGCGTGTTGAGTTTCAGGCTCGCGATGACGCGGTAGTGGCAATGGAACACGAAACACCTCGGCATTTTAGCGTCCAGACCGCTACAAAGGTGCCTCTGTTGTTACCCTCATCACCTCAACGAAAACCGGGAGACACCTCTAGAAGGTATGCTACTCTTCCAATCTGTTTGCTCTATCAAATTTTTTGCAATTCGACAAACAACAGAAAGCTCCTTACTTTCGTGAATGTTAGTGTTCCTTGTTACTGGTGAAACCTCATTGTCTTTTGTGCATTTGTCGTAAATGTAGTAAATACTTCAATCTTATTAGTGTTTTTTGCCTATCTCCTAACAGTATGCAGATGTCGTAATCGCGTTCGTCTTACAGATCCTTTATTGACCCACTGAACTTCGAAATGTTAGTCTTGATTGAAATCCCTAGTTTATGATTTTGTATCACTTTGGGTGGTCAATTAGCCAAATAACATTTTCACCTCAAAACATCTGTTCCTACAATGTTGGTATGGGTGCAAATTTGGTTTGAATTGCATTTCACATTTGCATGGGTAGGAAACAGGCCATTTGCCTCAGTGCGAAAAGTTTTCCAGTATATGCCTATCCGATGGCTATTAGAAGCCTGCACTTTCTCCACTTTTATGATTGTGGTAATTGTTGCACCGACTTAGTGCCTAAATGAGGGTCCAAATTTGTTCCCTTTGCAGAATGACTACAGTCTTGACCAGCGCATCTGCGGTCCTTCAACGTTCCATGTGTAGTGGAATGGAAAAACCAATGCTCGAAAAAGACGAAGCTAAGGCGAACAATGGGGCGAAATCAGTAGAGAATTTTACTGTTGAGAATCAGTCTCTTCACGGACTCTCCTCGACCTTCTGTACAGCCTCTGCGCCTCTTCTAATTGCTGATTTCAACGCTAAGAACATTCGCCTTGTGCAACTGACTACGGGGTCTCTTCGTGTAAGAAATCTCCATCTTGAGCTAAAACTTAATTTCATTAATGCATCTTCGGATCATCACCTGGGTCTCTTTCAGCAAGTTGGTACCGTTTTGTTTGTTAATTTGCTTTTGTCTGGGCTTTTATCATTTTCTCAATTCCACTTATTCCCGTGTGTTTTCCTGTCTTTTGGTGTAATAGTTAGGTTTTTACTTTTCTAGCCTACTCGTCAACGTCTTGAGGATGATTTTATTAAGTCCAGTATGCACCCCAACTTGCGACACCTCTTGACCTCGTGGGACTCGGACCCAGCCAAAACGCGAGAGGCTCTAGTTCTACTGACGCACCTCCTACTACAACATACTCCATCACGGCATAAGTCGTCTGAGAGCCACCAAGACTTGCTCTCGTGCACATTAGCTAACGTAGATCTCCTCTTTCAGTGGATGGTTGAGTCTTGTTTCCTTACTGAAACGCTTGTTCCTGAGGTTGTGTCCCAAGGTGCGTCCAGCCACTCTCCACCTTACTTTCATTGTCATCTTTTCCAATGGATTTCCTTTTTGGTCGGTCTCCTGGCAAAAGTTGCATCTCATTTAATGGAGTATTTCCTTCTTCGTAACAGCCCTTGAATACATAGACGAACTCATAGCTCGCCTGGCTGATGCGAAGATGACTTTGAGAGTTGTCGAGGTTCGTATTCTACTACCCTGGCCGCTTTTTGCACCCCACATGCTCAACCAATATTTTGGCCAAGTTCCTGAGAGGTGTCGTCGTCTCACCAGTCTCCTCTTCGGCCTCTGTCGTGTCTTGTCTGCTGACGAGGTATATTTAATCGCTATGGAGGCTATGAGCACTGTTACCGAGACGGGGATTCTTAAAGGTAGGTGTCAGTAACAAGGGCGACCTAAAAAGGCGCCAGCAAAAACATTGCTTCGTCGAATTTGGTGAAAAATTCCGCACACGCGAACTCACGAAGGTTGTTGATCTCGTTCTTCCTCTTAGAAATGCTCCTCCTTGTGAAGCTTCTGCTAACACGTTTTCCGAGCCTGCCAAATCCTTCAGTTGCAGATATAAAGGCGATCGCTCAGCATGTCGGCTCATCGAACAAGGAGGTCCATCGCGCAGCTTTGGAATGCCTCAAATCGGCTCGTGGAGCGTGCTCTACTGAGCAGATATCCGCAATGGCTGGAAAGGTATGGGTGTGTGGTACCAGTGGAGTTATTTGTGGTGACTTAGTAGTAAATGCTTTCAAAATTTTTAGTTGACTGATCGAGATAGAGCCTTTCTAGAGGAGGCGTTAAATAAGGATATTTCGACTACGAGTTTTCATACCCCTCTTCGACCAAAAATTCCACGATTTGACGGACCGTTCAGTGCTTCATACACAAACTATCCAAGCATTCTTGCGTAAGTGAATTGTGTGACCTAAGGCATCTCAATGATGAGAAAGGTTGCTTCTCTGACTCTCGTTTTCAAGTTCTATAAGATTGTAGCTAAAGTTTGGCGACCAGTTTCGAGGTGATTTACGTTATATCGTTTATTTAGTACAAATTTTGGGATTATTTAGGCTTTACATGGTCATTAGTTATCTGTAAGGTTTGTGTATTGGCGTGGATCTAGTGAATAAATGAGGTTGAACTCAATGTTTTCAGAAAAACACTTGTGGTGTTGGTGAAATGAGTCGCGGACTTCATGGTGGCTTTGAATCTCACCCAAATTGCTGGGAAACACTACCTGACTTCCATTAATTTGTACTTTAAGGGTTCTCTATGTTTCTCAAGTGCACCTCCAGATATTGCGATGTAGGCGGTGCTTTGGTGACCATTGTCCTCGAGTTCTAGGGTGTTTTTTGTAACAAATGTAAAATTAATTTAGTCGAAATTAGTTTCCTTATTACCCTGCATTCCGATAACAATTTAAGGCTCTCTTATCTTGCAGAATCACCATTTACGATTATAACGAAACTAGTTTGCTTATACACAACTGGTTCTTTATCTTGTTTTTGTGGTTGACCGCCGAATCACAGATCGGTGTCGCAGAGTCAGCTAGTTCAGTGCTCGCGTCTCAAGGGATCGGATGACGAGGAGGGTCGTTTCCGTGCCCTCCGCCAGTGGATACTGGAGGTGCTAGCTGAGGATGACCGCACCAAGGAGGCACGCATGGTCGCTTTCCTCGTCTCCAAGGTCCTCATTTCACAGCCGCCTTCCTCACCCTCCACCTGCGACACTGATTGGACTAAAACCCTCGATACCGCTCTCCTCGCCGTTTCACATCTCGACTTTCTTCACCAATGTAAGCTTCTTTATCGTCCTTATTTTATTTTGTGCATTCTTTTCACTTCTTATTTACTACGATTTTTTACTATATTCCTCGATCAATCCTGGTAATGGCCAGCGATCAATAAGCCTTGACCGATGACCTGGAAGTGGTAATTTTAGTTGATCTGAAATGGATTGTTATTCATCATTACGTTGACAAAAATTTAGTTTGACAAAGAGAGGTGATCGCCTCTAATCGATCGCTTCAACGACAACACACTACTCAATTTATGACCCTTGCATTTAATGCAGTCTCCTTGATCTTGTCGAATTTCTCAACCATTAATCGTATGAATACTTTCCTATTTATCGCCATACGTGCTTTTGAGAAGCTTTGCCTCCCAAGCTCTTTGTGAAATTTTTTGTGATTTACTAATGTTTTTTACTGCTATCCCAGTCATTCCACAATGTCAGTATTGGTACCAAGTGAATTAATACGCACTCTACCTAATTGATTACGCTGAAAGTTTCGAAATTCGTTGCTGTTGTTCGATGAAAGCCGAATTAGTTTGCGAAAATATGAATTTGCATAGCGTTGCGTGTGTGTGCGTGTGTAGCTTGGATAGAAATGCTAATAATCGTTGTACATACCCGTTTTTCTTAAGAGCGAATTTAAGGAAAATGGTGACGAAAATTTATTTCAACCTAAGCAGTAGCAAACTGTTTCTTCTCATATTGTGCTTTGTTTTTTTTTCAGCTACGGCGACGCGAGACCTCATTCTTCCAGAGGCCTCCACACTGATCGAACATCTCGGTGTGCAGATGAGTAACGTTGCTTCGGGAAGTATCGCCGCCTCCGATTACACTACTGAGGACGCATGTCGATTTGTTCGCGCAACCGTTGGCTTTGTTATTTCTGTATGCCACTTTTACTGTCCCATCTATCCTATTTTTTTGTGCTTCAGGACCAAGTAACTGTTTTAAATCAACACAGATATGTTTGATTTTCTAAAATGGAGAACTTATCACCTGGTTTAGCTAGGGTGCTTCTTTTTATTAGGGTTTGAAGTTGGTGCAAGTTTAATATCCTTTTAGCTGTTGAGCAGTTTTAATGTCTTCCCACCCATATTGCAGAAACTTAGGTGCCATTAGCAAGAAATCCTGTGTAAATATATTCCTTGTTTGTCGTGCAGTTCTTATGACCAAACTGCAACACTTACTTAATGTACTCTTCAATAGCACTATGCACTAGTATTGCGTCTTTATTTAGTAATACTCTTTTGACTGAACAATTTTGAAGATACTTTTACAATATTTTACTTCTAACCGTGCTCACATTTGAGAAACTACTGCCATCCTACTTGCATGTGTTTGTAGGCTAGCTGCTCTTGGTCGACGTCGTTTTGAAATGTGGGTGTGATCTCAAAGAGGCTTTCTCCTTAATAGTCACCCCTTTCTTTGGTTGATCAAGCATTGATTCCAAATCATGTTCTTAACTTCTTTTTCTCGTCGTCTCGATAGATTTTCCGCGCGGCTTTCCTCACTCGCGATCTCACCGCGCACAGCCTCTCACAATTACTCATGGGTCTGTTGCGCCTGCACGCCGTGCTTGATCGTGTTTGCCAGGGTCGCTTCGAGTCTTTGCCTATTAAGAACTCTCTTCTCCTTCTTCTCGTCGACTTGGATATCGCGAGGCTCCTGGAAGAGGAACTTCTACTCACCTTGGAGTTTGTTCATAACAAGCTCATTGTTTCTGACCTCTCTACTTACATTATGTAAGTAAAAGGCTCTTAAAACTTCAAATACTTGGCCCCACAATTCTGGTTTGGTATTTCACGCATATAACTCCGCATATGCAGAGTGCTATCATTCTAACGACTAATGTTTCTCTAGATTTGGTTTTTCTTTGGGAGAGTTCATGGGAGCTTATCCGACAACTTTGTGCCTTTTGGTAATAAACACTGTGGTAGTCATTTCGATCGGTCTTTAAATTTAGCCCCTAGAAAAATTAAAGCGTGAAACATTTGTCAAAGCGGTCGCTCCTTGAGCTGTCTGCCTTTTCCTTGGCATCAAACCTGATTCCATGATCCCAATTAACGGCATCGCTACGTGTTGGACTAGTGTAATCGCGGTAATTTGGCGAAATCTTTGTTTGTAGATAGTTTTTAAAATCGTACCTCTCTTTCTGACGACTCTAAACTTTAACAGCTACTCCTTTCTCATATCAGGAACTGTTCGGCTTCTATTTTAGTGCCTCTATTCCCAAAAGTAATATCGGACGTAATCTTTGATACTAATCGTTTTTACTCCCCTAGTTGGTACACTTTAGGATCAGTAAGAATAGTATACTCCTGTGTCTTTATTTAATTATTTACAGTAGTATGTATTTCCTCGGCAATGGGTATTCCCTCAAATCCAAGCTCTCGTTAAGGTAGTACTACAAGCTTTCCTTTGTTTGTGTTGCGTAGATCCCTTATTACCCTCGTAAATGGTACGTGGAGCGGCAACAAGGCAGCTGAGGGTGATGTCGACGAGAGCTGGTTGGCACCAAATAATCTGCTCCTAAATATGCTAAACCTTGCCATGAAAGAATTGGCGGCTAATCAAGGTAAGGCTTGCTTTCGTCCCGATATCATTAAAAAAATGAACTATCAGAAATCCCCATCTCTTCACTTTGAGACCATTTTCTAAATTGTGCTATGCGCATGCATTCGCGAAAATTCGCACATTCTTGTGAGGGGCACAATGATCACTTCAACATATTTTTCTTATGTGATTGGAGGTGACCGCCAGGATGATGTGAGTGCTGTGCTGAAGGCTATGGAGACATCACATCCCTATGAACGTCAATCTGGTTTTTGTGAGGGCTCGTTGATGGTCGCGTTTTCATTGAATCGACTGCGGCCCTGAGTAGGTGCGTATTTTAATGATTTTTTGTGCTTTTCCCGCCAATGCTCTGAGCCTCAGTTATTGTCGTGTAGATTAACCTTTCCAGGTCAATGTGTACTGTCCTAACAACATGGGGACGCATAACTCACCCTGGTTTCACCTCGCTTATTTGTTTGGCAGTATCGTCCACTTTTCTGTAGCACCTCTCCAGTTGGAGTGACTCCTCTGATAGTTTTCTTTTGTTAAAACTAGACAGTGGAGTATACATTCACCCTCGCGAGGTTTGGACTAGTGCTACACAACTATGCTCATGCAATTCGCCACGTCACAAAACTCATTTGAAAAATGGAAACATGCACAACGCCTTTTTTTAGTTTCTTAAAGGTTCAGTCATTTATTTTTGGCCACCTCTGCTCCGTTTTGCCACACAAGCTATTCTTTCTCCGTTCTGCGTCTGCTTATAGCCCTGAAGAATTGTTACAAAGTGGTGATCCCTCCTTCTTATGGTAGACGAACATGGGCACTAAGGGTTTGCCTAGAAACAATGTATCTCGAAGCTCTCTCCCCATTTCTTCGATGGCGGAAGCGTGTGTTGTTTGCGCTTGTGCATGTGCATCTGGTTGTGAGGCCTGTCTACTAGTTGGAGATTGCAACCTTTCTGCTGTCTACTCTTGTGCGTGCGTGTGTGCATGCTTGAATGAGTGGGGTGGATAAAACGTGACTCACTACAGAAACACTCGGATATTGTTTAGGATAGAAGGGGCCTTTATTTCTCATGAATGCGCACCTATGTGGGCTGATTTCTACTTGCTGTAACTGCACCTTAGTCTTGTGAAGCTGCAGTCTTATGAATCCTTGCGTCCTGAAGTTCCACAATCCATTGTCATTAATGTATTTAATTCTCGTCACGATTCTATTTAACGATACTGCTAGGGTTTGATCCCATCCTTTTTTTCGTTTTAGGATGCGCTAATCTCGAAATTCCATTCATCGTTCGGATTTCAATGCATTGGCTTGGTGTTAGTGCTATGGATGATATTTTGCTAGACGCTACCATTCACACTCCATTTTTTGTACCTTCCGATGAATTTTTGGGAAATTTGGTCTAGGCGACATCTATTCTATTGCTCTTTAGTACAGTTTAAGGCCTGAGGGCAGTTGTCTTAAAAAGAACGCTTATATCTTGGAGGGCATGAAATATGCATTGAGGAACTCAGCATTCACCTTTGGTGTCGGTGAATTTGATAACACCCATGTAGTCGGGATTATGCTTCCGCAGTAAAAATTTTACCACTAGAGGTGACAAGAGACTTCAGAAGCTTGCTAGTAAGCTGATAGATCTAGGCGTTTCCCTTAGCCTTTTTTGTTTAACCAAATGCAAAGTAGAATATGCGGTCCAAAGTTTTGTTGATAAAACTACAAATTCTAAAAGTTGATAGTCTCTTTAAGGACAATTTGACACTTCATTGCGCAAAACCTGTCTCTCGGTTTGCACACTGTTTGTTTTGCTGTTCGTGAGGGTCGTGGATTGTGCAAGGAGTTTATGTTTAGCCACTCTTTGGAGCAGAGATGACGCAAAACAACACGGGATTATCGAAGTAGATGCTCTTATTCACTGAAGTGCATGTGTTCGCTCTATCATAAGATACTGGTGTTTTGATCCCAACAAGATAAGGCGATTCGAGCAGCAGTGTTGCCTATACAGTCATTTGATCTGCTGAGTCAAATGGTGATATACAAGCAACGAGGCTAAAACTCGAAGGTCCTCTTTAACATAGTTTTCATATTTTCGACTTCCGAATTTTAAGTAATCCAATTGATTGTGAAGGCCCTCCCGTTAAAAAGGTTCGGAATTAAGCAGGAAAGTGTTGCATGGGGTCAGTTTTTATTTCAAGTACCTTCAGTTATATAAACCGCAATTCTTCGTCAGAGCTGAGCTATTTAATTAGTCCTAAGCAGTAAACTGTGATGTCAGAGGGTACTTTGGTATTCCTTGGCATAGTTGCCTTGCTTCTAGACCTTTTTTTGAAGAGAAATGTAGAGTCACTACCTGGGTGATGATTAGGTGATGTAGGGAAACAGAGCACGGGTTTAATTGTCGACTGTGTTGGACGATATTTATTCCATGATTAAAACACTAGTCGGGGTCAAATGGAGTGACAACTTTTGCGCCAGCACACCTTAACTCGATAATGCCACGTTAATAGAAAGGGCGGGTAGTAAATCAATCGGGACTGGAATGCACTTGTTTGTTTTTTTTTTTTAATTAAAGCAGCCGCCATGTCGGCTTGGAACGTATAGGAAGCCAAGTACGCAAGTTAGGGTGAAAATGCACTACACATCAGCCGTTTTCACTGAAACCATGCCAGGTTTTATGCGGCCTTCATGCTGGCTGTTTCCACAGGGAGATTTGTGTCTACAACTGCTGCCACAGGTGTGGCTATTGGTGTAATTGATTCCTCTTGCTTTGCTGGCTTCGTATGAACATTTTGAAGCTGCAGCTGGGTATGTTGCTGTGTAATGGCATCCAGATAATCCAGACACTCAGCAGAGGTGAGCTTGACAATTATGTTTTTCTTAGAGTCCGTGCCTGGATGCGTGACCTCAATGTGCCGTACAAGGTGGTCTTTCCGGTAGTACTCCTTCTGACAGACTCCACACACGAAGGGCTTGAACCCCACGTGCCGCAGGGAATGTCTCTGCAGGTTTGATCGCTGAGTGAACTGCGCCCCGCAGAAGTTGCATCGAAAGGCCTTGTGCTGCGAGTAGGTGTGTTCGCATAGCGAGTTTAGCGAGAGGAAGGCGAGTTTACATTGATTGCAGACAAAAGACTTGCCATAACGACGTGTGGATGCGAGAATATCATCTGTCTCGGAAGGGTCAACGGGTTCATTTAGGGGATCTGGTAGACTAGCCAGAGACTGTATTGATGTCACCGGTGCATTGATAGTATTAGTGATCATCGGACGTGGAAGAATTGGTCGGGGAGCGCTGCCGCTCACCTTTGGTGTCGTGGTAAGGGGGAGGACAAGCTTGCTGGCTGTCGGGGGAGTGGAAGTGAGGTTGGGAAGGATTGGAACCTGATGCTTGGGTTCCAGTTGTGCTGCACTAGCAAGGGCATTCATCAGAGTTGGTGCAATGGTGTCACTGACATCTGAAGTTTGGCCACTTAAATGCGGCTCCACTTCGGGTACCTTGCAAGGCGGGGGTTCTTCGAGGACAGCTGGCGGGCTTTGTGGAATCTTGCAAGGTCTGCAGAACTTCCTTTTCCTCCTCGAGGTTGGCTGTGTTACAGGTCCCTCTGTTTCGACACTAACGGGAGGATCTCCACATTCAACGCCTGAGTCATTTAGAGGTGAGGCAGCAACTGATTCTGGAGAGATCGCGGTGATCTTAGTGTCTGCTTCATCCCCTACTACTCGTTTGAAGCATCTGTTCACAATAAGGCTGCGATAGTTTTCCCCATCAATTTGATAAGCAATCAGCGCTTGTAGTCGAATTTCCTTGGCGAAAGATGGGAAAAGTGCTCTAACTAGAAGCTGAGCAAGTTTATTTTCATCTAGTATCTCCAAATCATTTGAGGCCTTTTGATCATCACGTTCTGAGTCTTGCGGTTGACCATTGAGTGACTTTTGCTTTTCAGGTGCAGTAATATTGTCTAATAACAAATGGACAAATGTTTTAACAGTATGTGTAATTGTGATTACCTCAAATACAGCTTATTTGGTCATTTATGTTGTGTAGATTTAAAGCAAATATGGGGTTGCGCACATAGAACATAATCACGCCCACCCGAAATTGACTGATGGTGTTACAGCACTGTTTTGCTACTCGACGACAGATATTGGCCACGACGGAAGTGGTAACTTGTATCGCCACCGAAACGATGGTGGTGCGAGCTAGGCGCTGCGCTCACCTCACAGCATCGTGTACGCGCATACTGTGGCCGCTTGCGACCACATGCGCGTCCACTTGGAGCGCGCGTAAATCGATAGCGCCTCGTCGGTGCATGCGCTCAGTGCGTGCACTGACGCACAACGCCTCCTATAAACAATGTGCAGTGCGCACTCGCGCACAGGCCTCCATGTGCGTACACATTTGCATCTAAATACGCACGTACCGTTGACCTTCACTCCTTTTCACGGCTAGGTTAGATCAATGCTTGGGCCTCATGCTTTTTTGGGTTCATAGGGCGGAGGGAGGGCTGGTTTTTTGGTAGAATCAGAGTCCTGTTACTCCCTGGACCTAAAACGTCCTTATGATCTACTCGTGTTCCTAGAGGACAGTTGGTAAAAGTGGTAACTACATCTATGTTTTCATGCCACTAGCTTCACTTATTTATTTCATGACATCCGCTATTTCTTGGAAGTACACTACCCGCGTTTCCGAAGTCTGGAGAAGCAACGAGTTTTGTAAATGATCAAAAAGCAAAAATGCGGGATCCTCCTATGCGTACTTTCTGCTATCGCAACTCCCAGGGTTTCATTCAAAAGCTCCTGCCTAAGGCATTGATTAGTGGTGTAGGTGAGGAAAAATACAAGTGGAATGCTAATGAATAGGTGCGGCACACATTACATCAAACCAAACAGTGAGTTGATTTGGAGTAATGCAGAAAAATTCACCCGGCGAATAGGATTATTCACATTCTCAAAAGGTTGCTGCTAAACTCAGGTCTGATTCGCCGCCCAACCAGATACAAGGATATCACAATTTATTTTATAGGTGAAACTATTGTGAATCCAAAATTTATTGAGTGGGGTTTTGTTGGATTCTATACTTTAAAAATGATTGTCATTGATGTGTAGAGGAGACCATCTGGACCAATGGATACAAAGTGCGTGCTTTCGTGACTATAGTGAAGGCGATTTGCGATTGGTCGGCGACATTTCCCCGTTTCATCCTGCATGGTCAATTGCCCGTATGGGAATTTCCTATTGGTTCAAGTAAGGGGAGATGAACTGTTTTTGCAAACACTTCATCCTTCTTTCGCCTTCGATCATCTAACTATCTACTCTATTACGAGGTTTTAAGGACTGCAATTAAGTGGAACATCGAATCATTCACCTCTGTTTACATTCGTCACCTACGGGTTCTGTGTGGGCACCATCATAGTCACCACGGCCAACCCTAATGAATCTTAGGTTAGCGGCAGGTTTTCCGCAAGTAGAGAGGCAATGATTTGTTTAAACCTTGTATCCTAACATTTATTTCCGATGGAATAAAAGGTAGGTTTTCGATTAGGGCTGATCAGCGGGTAGAGCTCTTGATCGTTTTGCCGAATTTTGCTTTACTGCTTATTTGCACTCGCCAGTTCATGAGCCAATTAAGAGGTCCACGCATTACTGATGGCTTTCCATGATAATGACACTGAATGGCCGTTTTACTTTACTACAACTCCTTAAGTATACAACTTTAGAATCTACTATGTATAGCGCTAACTCATGGAAAATTATCCTAAAATCAGCCTTAATTACAAGGCAGGATCTATTTGGGATGAATTGTGTAAACATTAATTGATTGATAACTTCACAATGATAATTACAACTGTTCCGAGCAGTCCCCACAGAGCCAATGGCAATGATCTGTCCCTACTCTAGCAAATGTAGTATGAACTTCACTTCAAAAGGACGAACTGCCTATCAGCCAGGTGTAAATTGTTATGATTATTAACTAAGTGATGTAAAGTTTAGGAAACAAATCTGGGAGTACGTGTTTCTAGCATCTTGACTCGATGACCTCTCGTGACAAGTAAAGATTGAGTTTTAACTGCCTCCTCTCAGTCCAATTCTATCAGCCGTCATACTTGAGACACCAAGAAAACCCGATGATTCTGTTGAATGGAAAGGTAGGCGTCACACGCAGTCATCATTATTAACAGGGTTAAAGGATCAAATAATTGCGCAAGTAGTAAAACGCGTGCATTTTAGTCGATAACTTTATCAATCGTTGGAAGGAGGAATTTCAGGGTAAACCACTAAACCGAAAACCGGAGTAGCATACATCGCAGCACTGGCTCAGTCATGTTGTATTGCCCTTTGGACTCTATGCTTTCCCTTAAAAGTTCTTTTTATGGGTGTGTATGATAAACACTAAGTTTTGAAAGAAATTTATGATGAGGGTGGGAAATAATGGATAGTAGATGCTAACATGCATAGGAGAAACGGCTACAGTTACCCTGTACATGTGGTTAGAATAGAGGAAGGTAGCGACAGGCACAAGGAAATATGCGCTGCATAGATCTACAGGAGGCCTCAAGAGGAAGGCAAGAATTTGTAAACATTGGGAATCGCTTTCACTTTTCCGTGTGATCGATAGCTCCCCTTTGTGGTTGCGTGTACGCGTGTGTTTGTGGGCTCCACTTAGGCAAAACAGTGGGTGAGAAAGTGCCTGAAGTTCTCCTTTCCTCTTCTGTTGGGGATCCAAGGTAAACAAACAAGTCTCACTGTGATGCAAAGAGGCAGCTGAAAGCTATTAAAATACGCGTCATTTTGGCGGTGATTAAAGTGCTGGACGATGATCGTAACCATTAGGTGGGGAATTACCAATTCCCAGTAGACAATTATGTGAGTAAAGAATTTCCTACCATAACACTTGCCCTACTGAGAAAGTTGAGTATATTCGCAAGGAGGCCTGTGACTGACACTTCTTCGGCTTTTTGCAAGTCTCGATTCGATTTAGACGACTCCTTAAACCTCGATCTTCGGTGCCCTAGAGTTGGACTGAGATGGCCAAAAATTGTGCATTTTACATAGGCTGAATGACTTTTTAAACTGGCTAAGAGATGGCACAGTCGCCTCAACGTTCGGCCCGAAAATCACAACTTTAAGTTGCGTGGGTGATTTCCTTTTATTTTATAAAGGAGGTGCCATCATACTCAAACGCCTGAACGCTTACTAGATGAGCAGTGCCTTAGTGATGCGTAAAAGTTGCCCAAATCATTACCACAACTGTTGGCTCATTCACATGGCACGTTGTAAAGTGATGCTTCTTCCCCTGTCTCTCTCTTCCTTAACTGTTCAGTGAATGTTATTAAAGGTGGCTTGTATTGCTCACTAATACACATAGATGAGACCTACGCACCAAATCCACGATCGGAAATGATCTAGGAGCAAAACAGTTGTAAGTTCCTTCTGCACCGGTCTGTTAAACGCGACCTTAAAGGGTTTGATTTATGACTTCCAACTCAGCTGAGCACAGCTTTTTGGAGTTGTGAGCTTCGTGGCTCAGTTCACAGAAGTGCCAGAGAACGTAATAAATGCTGCTTTTATTTAACATGAACTATTCAAACCTGGCTAAACTCGGATCAGCTCGTGTTAGGATTTCCAAATGACTTTTGCTTCACTCAACTGACGCCTTTTACAACTACAACACACAAAATAGTATCCTATTGCCTCTGCAATCCTATTAAAATTATGACAACTCTAAGGTTGCCTTTCTGCGAAGAATAATGCCCCAATACGAGTATGGGATAAAGTAAAATTATGGGGAATGGATTGTCACGTGGAAATATTAAACACATCAATGCAACTGTGCTGATGTGAATTTGTGAAAGATGGCTTCGTTTTTTTTGGGGTCGATAAAAAATTGCCTAATTTGATTCATCTCCGTCAGAAAATAAAGGAAAATGTAGTGACTAATACTCCTCTGACTTTTTTTACTACAGAGGCTAAATAAAAACATGTGATAAGTGCCCCTCATTTGTTATGAAATGGTGATAAATAACAGAGTGATATGTGAATCCCTTCCATAACACAGCTAAACACCTATGAATGGTGACGTCCAGTACGAGGAGAAAACTCAATTGCCTCTTTAAGGAAACGGTACACGGTCATTTTGACAGTAGCTGACTAGCTCTGTAACACCATTTTTTAATGGATAAGTTAGACCTCCCACACGCAAACGAATACCTTTTTTACGCCGTTTTTTAAACACAACCGTATCTGCAAAATTTGTCCTTCCTGAGAGCGGATGCGACTTTTACTAAGTAAATGATGCTTCAGAAGGGTGACAATGCCCGTTTATTTTTAAGAGGCCGTGCAATTTGTGAAACATTTTTCACGGTCAGTAAACCTTGCGGTTGCTTGGCGCGACCGTATGTGGCCAATAAAACGGCTGTGTGCCCTATGGTCACTTAAGTGCAAATTGCACCTGATCTGGGGTCAATCAGTCTAGTGCTCACGTTGCCTGACCTAAACGGGGTTATCACGACACTTTATTAGTAGGTACCTGTTCCACATGCATATCAAACTCCACTATGGCTTAAAGTTGGTTAATCAGCTAGCAAATGCTTCAACATATTTGACTTTGACGTGCACACTCTCTGGTTAGTTGAACATAGCTTACTTCATTGACAAATTATCTATAAAAGTCATCTTAGTGAACGCACCCTGAACTCTGTGGTTTGGAATTAATGAATGGTTATGAATATTAATAGGAAAGTTGCATTTGGGTTGGTGATATGGTCACTTCCAGTTCGAGTATCAAGATGGCTATAGGGGTGGAACGCGGTCGAAGGACACCCAGCCAAGTCACGGTGCCATACTATGAAGTACATTGAGATAGTGGATCATAGTTTGTGCGGCGACTCAGGCTCTTCACAACAGTATGGTGGAAGTGATTTGCCAAGCAGCACCGCCACCTGCACCGAAATGATAGTGGCGCGTGAATCACCCACTTTGAGCAGCACCGTGCGAGCGTGGGTATACACACACACCGAGGGTGCGGAGGTGTGTGTGCGTCGTTTGACGACTACAAGACGTGCACCCACGCAGAGGCGCGAGCCACGCAGCCTGCGCAATCTGAAGCGCAGCGCCCCACCCTTCTAGCGCCTCCTGCATCTCGAAATGGAGTGGGTATATGTCTGAGGCACTGCTACCCGCCTCCCAATTATTGATTCTCCGAGACTAGCACACCAGACTTGAGCCACTCAGCCTCCGCCGATTTGGACCACCTTTTCAAACTCCTTACAGTTAAACAACCAAAACTCAGGTAGAAAAGGAATTTTCAATGCATATTAAATTGGAGATCCTCACTGATGCCATTTGAGTAAATGTGCAAAGATGCTATTTTTAAGAACTCATAAGCGCCGTTGGAGAAAAAGATTAAGTAATACGAAAAGCGTTTAAAATGACATTATTTAAGATGGGTTATTAAGGTAAGCTCGTTGTCTACTTGAGCTACCAAGCGATCGAATTCATTTACACAATTTGGGGCTAGAATATTTGCGTTTCTTGAGCAAAAATATTGTTTTTAAGTGGAGAAATGTCATAAATACTTCAGCAATAGAAGTAGCACTCTAGTAAATAAATGAACGCAGCTCTCACGTAACTTCTTCGTAGCCTGACCTCTTGATTCTTTTAATCATAAAACACAATGGTAAATTTAAAAACCTAACTGTAGGTAAAGTGTAGTAACCACTGTGGGTTCTGAGTCCGAAGTGACCCTTTACAACAAGTCTAGAGACCCCTAAAATGGAGTTTCATTTCTTTACAACAGATGCTTTAAAATATCGCTTAATTCAACAAAAGCCGACTGAGAGTAATGAACAGTCTTTCAGGTGTGCTACAGAAACCAACCAGGAAAACTTGCGCTTGTGCTGTTATTGCCGATATCTCGGTACAAGAAACTGAGGTTCGATGACGGAGACTATTGACACACACAAGCATCTTTGCGGAGGAATGAGCTTTAGGTAAGGAGAGCAGGTGATTTGGGACCTTTTGGAATGTACTCAATTTTAAAATCACCCATTGAACCGTGTCATACATTGGGAAAGTGAAGGCATAAGGTGTTTCAGAGCGACTTTTGCACAAGCTTTTGAGGTCATCAGAATGGAAGCTCAATTGACAAATCGTCGGGGAGTGTTGATTAAATGGAATATAATAAGGCAGATATTGCAATAACTAGCATTGAACTTCAAGATAGATAAGGAACGTTCGCATTATTGTTGTTTTACCCGATATGCAGTTTGATAATATTTCTACACAGTCACTACTTACCTCCGTTTGACATCGGAATGTGCCGAGGATTTTTGGGGAGGTTGATCCTTGAAAGTATTGCTGTGAGGGTGCCAGAGAAACCTGATCTTCAACGTGTTATGCGCCGCTGGCCGTGTGATTGGCTTGGATTGCGGGCTCACCAATCACAGCTTCGCACCATTTCGCACACACGCACACTTGCATTTTAATTGGCTGCTCCCGGCATGAGGTCTGCCCATCGATGCGCACGCACGATCGCACAGCTGTCCAGCCAATCAGAGTTGCAACCCATCTCACACGTACTCGTGTGACCTTGACGATGGCAGCATGCGACACGTGTACGCAGGCAAGCACGCGCGCACATGCATGCCAGCCTTCCTTACGGAGTTGCCTCCACAAGGATGGTGCTCGTTCTCTTGATCTCTCCGTGCCGATGACCTGAGCGGTGAAATGGTTTGTTGTACCTTAAATGGGAGTCAAACAAGGACCCATGAACTCATCGAAAGCAGATTTTGCCTTTTTTATCCAAAAATGGCTGGAGCGATGGGGATTCAACAAAAAGAGCTGGAATTGTCCACGTAGCTGGGTGACTAAAGAGATACATAGTAGCCAAAATGTAACGAGCTGCAATGTGTATGTTGTGACCTGAGGCCTGGTGAGTTTTGTAACCACAAGCACTTCATAAATCGAAGCTAAAGTAGGTGGAAGAATACTATCATCGCACTGAATTCCCAAGTTCACCAATTTCAAGCAACTCTTTTAGTTTAGTAACACTTAATCTGGTAAAGGGTTTCCATGAGCTTTTACCAAGGAAAGAAGCAACATTTTAACCCTGTCCTACCAAGAGTAGCAAAGTTCACTCCTTGTAGGCGATTATAACTTTCATTTGACCGCCTCGTAAACCGAAAAGCACTTAAAGGGAGGCCACCAGTAACATTGGTCCCTCAAAAGTTTACTAAAGTTAATTAGTGCTACGATCGGTGGAGCAAGAATAAGTTAGTTTCGGCATAATTGCCAGAAAAAATCTGCCTTAATTTACGACAAATCGAATGCTAGCTTAAATGTTTGGTAAGGCTATTTAGTGGCTTTAGCAATTCTAAACTTGGTAACTTCAGATTCCAGAAACATCGGAACAATGGTGCAAGGTTGTGCATGAAAATGTTGCCAGTGCATCCAGTTAAGTTGTTGGGTGCTTGTGATCGTATCCTATAAATGAAGCCACAACGTTAGCTGCGTTACCTTGGAAGTCAAAGTTCAAAAGCTCTTACATCTGATCCCCACCATATACGGAGAAGTGCGTGGAAATGTGCGATTTTCCGGTAAAAAATGGAACTGATTTGAGGTGCGGATGACATTACTAATTCCTCAATACCGGTAAGCGCTCAAGAGGAACTTTCAGGTTATTTGCACCACTGTACGAAGTTGTAGCAGAGAGTGCCGACGTTGCAGCTATCGACGTTGAAGCGGGGTTAAGGCAGCAGACTTGAGTGATAGTTCATTGATGGCAGATTTAGCTAGCATTTACCCAATGGCTTATGCATTCAAATGCTTTGAAAAAACCATGAACTGGGTGGTTGGACCTACCTAAATTCATGCTACCTTCACAGTCGGTGTTTTTCACTTGTTTGCGCTGTAGCCAAGGGTATTCACTGATGCACTAAGGTTAGGTAACTGTGGCTGCGCAGTGATGGGCGGAGTTGTTTCAGTTATTCCACTATGCCCACAGCACTAATAAGTGGGTTAGAGGAGTAAATATTTGCATGTGACTGATTGAGAAGTAGAGGTGAGCTATTTCTCCTCCTTCCGTCATGCTCTGCTATTTTCACTAATATAAAGCGAAAATGTTTGCAAGACCATTTCTAATCCGAGTTGCATAACCTTGGACTTTTGAGTTTATACCTTCCCTTTGCACCACTTACATCGGGGAAGGTGGGGCAGGGGGCTCAACTCCCTCTTGACCGGCGTCCTTTTGTGCTCAAGGTGAGCAGCAGGCGCTCTTGGTTAACTCGCCTACGTGACAAGACTTTTTACATCACCACCTCCAATACTACTTAAACATTCGCATCATTTTTGATTTTTTTAAAATTTCTCCAATCATCGCCGTCAATTATCTTCATTAATAAACAGGAGATTTTTACGTGTTTCCAATTCTATGTGACCTACCAGTTGATTTGAAAGTCATTTTGACGTTAAAGGAATCTTCAATGTTACTGATTGCCGAGAGAAAAAAACACTTCGATGTGGACTACCTTCAGCATTAAAATTAAGCTCTATATCAAACACGTGTCAGCGATCATGGCGATTTTGTTTGTTAACATTTCATTTTCCATTGATATCGGTTACTCGGTTATCCAAACCGCTCTCCTGCGAACACTGCAATGGCAGCCGGGCAGACTAAGTCCCGATGCGGTTGACAAGTTTACATGACATGATGAAATTATGGTGGCGTAGCCAGCATCCACGCGCTGCAATAAGTCAGTACGCTAGATGATTTGGAAAAAATCCAAACTGAGTAAATATCCTACCTTTTCCCAATAAGTGTTCACAAAAATTAATGGTACCCCCTGTACACGAATTTGAGGGAGATTTTGAAGGCATTTGGATGTCAACATTAACATGATAAGAAAAAACTTAAAAGGTGCAAAACTTTCAGAAATATGCATCATCACTAAGAAGAGTGAAACAAAAAATAACAGAGATGTTAAGCTGGATGGGTGAAGATTGGCTCAATGTCTACCAGAAATGCTGGGAGCAGTGCATTGCCAATTATCACACCGAAGGCCTCCTACCTGCCTTTTCCCATGCACCATTTCCACCACTTTGTTTCAGTGTTTACTCAAATCCATCTCACACCTCTACGGAGTTACATGGCTTCTAGTCCTCTTCATCTCTCCTTCGCTCCACAGCAGGACTGTTGAGCAGCAATAGCCCTTACAGTGGGGGCTTAGGGTAGCCTCGTGATGGCCACCCAAACTCGAAGCCATCAATGTGGGAGTGCTTTTAACCAGAAAAGTATTGAATCCCTCGGTTTTAGTCACCGCTGCTTTAATTTCTAAGCATTGATTCGAGTTTTAACTGAATTTGAGGAATCCGTTATGCACTTGGCTTTTAACCCAATTCTTCACTGTTATCATGTATTACTCCGGCTTTCTTTATATGAGCCAAATGACTTAGCAAAGGCGACATTTAATGAGAAGCGTGGACCAAATAGTACCCACAGAACAACTGCAAAATGGAAAGTTACGCCTCTGCATCTCAACAGGTGAATAGTGATTAAGTTGTCTGTCACACCATGTCTTCAAGGGTGGTTGAATGAGATTGTGGTGCATCACTGCCATTGTGCTTTGATGAGGCCAGTGTTGAAGCGGCTATTGTGACATAGTTGGGACTCCTAGCTGCGTAAGCACGCATTCACAAAGAATCCATCCACCAAGTTAAGTCAAACCCACCAGTTTTGCATACAGAAATGCAATCGCATAGTTCCACTCCGACTAAGGCTATGCCTTAAGAGTGGTCAAGGAGTCACCCCGCAGAACTATTAGATGATGCTTTTCAGAGGTGAGAATTGCGTGAAGCAACACCCTTATGCTCGAGTTTTTGTGTGGATTCAGAAGTGGTCATGCATGCAACGTGTGGCGCTTGTTAGTGCGCGACCCTTTAACATCCTTCCTGGTCGTAGTTCCACCACCTGTTTTGCATTCAGTATGGTGGATTTGATGACAGTCTTTTCCGATTAGTAAACAGGTGAGCTGCGATTGACACCACTGAATATGCTGGCACTACAATGGTATTTTGAGCTCTAAACCACTATAAATTCACTTCGTGGTATCATTTGATAACCTCATAGCTTC